CCCTGGGCACAGCAGAACAAAACACTGCCCAGTCCAGGGCCAGCCTCACAGTTGTTCTGATGTCTGAGCCCGTCGTTGCCGCCCTGGTTAATCCATCTCGAGGCCCTCCTCTTGTCCCTTCCTGGCTGCTTCACCAAGCATGATGTCCTTCTCCAGGGACTGGCCTCTCTTGGCAGCATGTCCAAAGTATGTGAGATGAAGCTCACCATCCTTGCCTCTAAGAAGCATTCTGGCTGTACTTCTTCCAAGACAGATATGTCTGTTCTTGCAGCACTCCGTGGGATTTTTCAAGATTCTTTGCCAGCACCAGAATTCAAGTCCATCAGCACTTCTTCACTCTCCCTTATCCCGTGTCCAACTTTCACATGCATATGGAGCAATTAGAAATACCGCGGGTTAGGCTCACGTTCTTCCTCCACACACCATCCTTGCTTTTCAGTATTTTAAAGAAAGCTTATGCAACAGAGTTACCCCCTGCGATGCATTGTTGGTTCTCTTGACTGCTGCTTCCATGAACACTGATTGCGGATCCAAGCAAGATGAAATCTTTGACAGCCTCAATCTTTTCTCTTGTTACCTAGGGATCGATTGTGGGGATTTGGTTTTCTTTCCATTGTAACCCATACTGAAGGCTGCCACCCCAGATCTGTAGAAGATGAAATTTCTCTATGAATAGACGTGTACAATGACCATTTGGGAGCTGCTTTATTTCCCTGGCAGGAGAAATTGTCCTCGTCCAGCAGCAGCTCTCCACCCAGCAGGTTCCACGGGTGCAGTCCAGTCACTGATGACATCTCGGCGTCAGCTGTGCGGCCCTCGCCACCTGCTTTTCTTGCTCGCTGTCCCCCAGCTGACAGGATTCACTGCCCCCTGCAGTTCCTGTCTGTCCTTTCCAGTTGCTCTGGTCAGTGAGATCTTGTACAGCTCGCTCATGAAAGATCTTAATGCTCACGGCTGACTTTTCTTACTAGTTCAGCGAAACAGTCGTGTGGTGTTCAGAAGCCTTCAGGGGCTATTCCTGGTTAAGTTTTAAAGAGTATCTCTGGGCAGTTGTGTCGGGGGTTCACCCAAGGTTCATGAGTTCAGGAAGTCTAGAGGTCATGAGAATCCCAACAACAAATGTGAAGAGATGGGTCCCTGGGTCGTAATGAAATGCTACCAACAGAAAGGTTGGCTGTTCAAGTCTACCTAACAGCTCCCCCTCAGGAAGGCCTGGTAAGCTACCCCCCCAGGAACGCTCTCCTCGACATCACGCCCGGTCCCGAGAATTGGATTCTGGCTGCCTGTAATTAACTATATATTGTATAAGTTGATGCCAAGTTAACCGTGCACTAGAGTGATATGATTTGTCATTCCAGATGAATATAACTCGCAAACTCTGGAGTCGGACCTTCAACTGTTCGGTCCCTTGCAGTGACACCGTGCCTGTCATCGCCGTGTCTGTGTTCATGCTCTTTCTACCTGTGGTCTTCTACCTCAGTAGCTTTCTTCACTCAGAGCAAAAGAAACGCAAACTCATTCTACGTAAGTTACTTTTCATAGCCGCCCTCTCTGCAATGGAAGGAACCAGCGTCTGTTGCCCTGGAAATGGCTCTTTGCTTCAAAATTTTAATGACACTTACTAATGGAAGAGATAAGATTTCATTTAGAAAGCTGACCACCCCGGAATAATGTCGTCAGCCACGGAGGAGTAGCCACAGACTGGCTCTGTCAATCCTGAAATAATAAGAGTGGGGGGATGTGGATTACTCTCAGGCCCCGGGCAATAGGGGGAGGAACCCCCTAAAAGTGTGGCAGCTAATGTGCAGACAGACTGTTTAGGCACAATTGCCATCCTGAGAGCCTTACTTGAGTATACGTGTGCTCAGCATCGTTCACTCCTTTCCTGCCTCTTCATCAAACAGGCAGAGTAGAAACGTGCTAACCACTGTGAGAAGACCCCGTCTCTCTGACAGAAGCCTGGCTTCCACGTCACGCGGTCTCGTGTCTTCATGATCAGAATTAAAATATGGGCTTATGTCATAATAATTTTAGTTTTTGAAAAGAGACTATTTGGGGGGAAGCATTGGTGATTCTTTCCCCCTCAAATATTATTCCTTGACTACTTCTTTTAACCACTTCTTATTCACCATTTATCTGTCTTCAGTTCAGTTCTGAGATAGCTACAGGTAAAAAGTTACCTGTAGACCGGTTTGACCTGAATTTGAAATATCTTGTCACCGAAAAATACTAGCCTTCGCACGGTTGTCTTTAGTAAAGCATTTTTTAAGATTGCCAGCATTCTGTAAAGATGTAGCAGCTCAGCCCTGAAAGCCACTGTTTAGAATAATGGCCAGAGACTACAGGGACATCACTATTGAGAAACTTTAGTTTTCAGGATTTGGTGTACTTCTAGGAGCCCTGGCAGTGCCCTGCGTTAAGCATGGGGCTGTTAACTGCAAGGTCGGTGGTTCAAACCCACCAGCCTGTCCGTAGGCCTCCGATGAGGCTGTCTAGGGGGTCATTATGCATTGACGTCCACTCAACAGTCGGTTTGGGGGGTTGGTACACTTCAACTAAAGGGTCACATCTTCTTAACCTTGCAGCGCTGTTTAACTTGTGGCAGGTATTCACTGTCAGGATTTGTGTGCATGTGTTTGTTTTCCCAGTACAAGCCACCCATCTGTTTGTGCATATCAGAAACCTCACTGTCATTTCTCCGCTCTCCTCTTTGCTGACTGCCCGTTCCCCGCTCTCCTCCTCACATTCTTCTCTGTAGTCGTCTGCTTCCTTAACTGCGCTCTGCTTCCATGCCTTGCCCCACGACAGTCTCTTCTCTATTCAGTGCCTGGTGTTATTTACTAAACACAGACTTTTCCATATTTCTCTACAGCCCCCACCCCTGTCTTCCCAGACCTCCATGTGTTCCTATGAGTTTTGCACTTAGGAAAAGGTCCAAGCTTATTCCCGGGGTTTGTCTTCTAAGCTGTATGTGATCTGGCCTCCCTCCACCATCACATCCACTGTCTGCCTTCTTCGCGATGCCGGGGCCGATGTGGACGTCTCTCCACCAAGCCCATCCACGTCTCTCCACCAAGCCCATCCATGTCTCTCCACCAAGCCCATCCACGCCATCTCCTTCCCAGGACTCTGGAACTCACCCTTCCCACCTTTCTTTCTGGCTCCAGGCCATCCAGGTCTTAGCTTGACGAATACCTGCTGAAAGCCACCCTTCCTTTCTTTGTCCTGTGTGTCTAAAGCATTTTAAGGGATATTTAATCACTATTTTAATGGAGCCTTTTCATCAGTTTCCTTCCATTTATGTCTTTTTTTCTCCTCTAACCGGACTCTAAGCTCCACGAACTAGGATCTTGTCTATCTTGTTCACCACGTCATCCCCAGCATCTACAGATTGCCTGCCCTAGAGTAAACCAAACCCATTTGTGACGCAGAGCGGCCCTCCATAGGGTTTCTGACATGGTAAACCCATTCATCTCCTGAGCAGTGGCTGGTGGATTTGAACCGCTGACCTTGTGGTTAGCTGTCTAGCCTGCAGCACCAGCAGGGCTCCTTTCCCCCAGAGCAGGTGCCCAGAATCCTTGTTGAATAGCAGAAGGTTGGCGTCTGGGTGAGTGTTTCCCAGGTGCTGTGAAGTACTCAATTACGGTGGAATTTGGCACACCATGTTCTTTTGAACGAAGCTTCATAATGTCATTCACGTTCAAGACTCCAAGACTGCACGCCCCCAAACTTGACAATGGAACATTTCCTCTTTGCTTAACATCTATTCCTGTTTCACGGAAGCAGTGTTTATGAAGTATGCTTAAGGACATTGTAGCGTAAGCAAATGGTTCTAATGCAGACACCTTTTGTGGGCATTAGCTCCCATTCGCTTTTCTTCATCAAGCAGTTGGTGTTGAATGCCCACTGAGGGGTAGAATATCCACTGCGGTAGAACAGAGGGATTTAGAAAAAAGACCCGGCACAATCCATGCCTTCAAAGAACGCACCAACCAGAATACAATAATTAAAACAGCTGAGGTAGAGGCTGGACCATCGAGAAGGGCAAGAGCAACTCTGCTTCAGAGGAGTCTGAATTAACCAGGAGCTGATGCCCTGAGGGAGAATTTTAATGAATGCTAGCATTTATCAGATAGAGAATAGAGAGACAAGGACATTGGGGCTTGTGGAAAAATTCCATTTTCTTTTCATTCCATGTTTTTATGAACTTTTTGAAGCACCTTCATATGTTTTATGTACGTGTATGCAGAAATTCAAGGAGCCCTGATGGCATAGCGGGTTATGTATTGGGCTACAGTCTACAAGGTCAGCAGTTCAAAACCACCAACCACTTCTCAGGAGAAAGCGGAGACTTTCTACTCCCGTAAGGAGTTTCAGTCTGGAAGCCCACAGGGCAGTTCTACCCTGTCCTAAAGGGTCACCAGGAGTTGGAGTCGACTCGACGGCAGTGAGTTTGATGTTTTGGCTATACATCAATTCATTGTGTATGTGTAAATTCATTTATATGCAAGCCATTTAATTGTATTTTTAACATTATAGAGTTCTTTCACTAATTTCTTTTAAGGGAATTTTAGACTTGGATTTCTAACTTAGACTTTTAAATAATATAATTTCATTAATGTACTGTTTAGGATGTTCATATTCTAGGTACAACACTTTCACTACACTACATAATTAAAATCGTGGGCTTTCACAAAGGTAAAACTTAGGTCTGAAAACCAAAAAGCCAAATCCATCACCAGGAAGTAGTTCTGACTCATACTGCCCCCAAGGGCAGCAGAGTAGAACCGCACCTGCAAGTTCCTGAGAGGACTCTTCCAGGAGGAGGCAGGCGCGGGTTTCTCCTGCCAAGCAACGGGTGCGTTTGAACCGCCAGCCTTCCACTTAGATGCCCAGTGCTTAGCCAACTGTGCACCAGCGCTCCAAGTGCTGCCTGATGTTATGTTGTATGTGGTACTGCTTCTAACAAAGCTTGTGTAGACACTACCATAGATTTGAGCTGAAGTATAATACTTTTCATTTATCTAGCCAAACGTCTCAAGTCCAGTACGAGCTTTGCGAACATTCATGAGAATTCAAACTGAAACCTACCGGATGGATTGCTGACGCCGTGCCACGCAGATGCAGATACGGAGCTAGCGGCTGGGTCAGGAAGAGAAGCAGCGACCTGACAAGTCAGGTTCTTAGGGGATGTAAAGACTCGACTTCAGCTTTATTTTAAATCATGATTCTCAGTCTTTCTCTGCTCCTCCCCACCCCCCTTTCTTCTTTAGTGTTTGACCTACCCAAAAAACTGTATTGTTCTTCACAATAGAATGTTGTCTGTTTTAAATGTATGTTAGTTACTCAAGCTGTAAGAACAGTATTTTATTTCATAGGTATATTACTATTACTTGAGATTTCTGGTACCTTCTTATTAACAAAATTATCTTACATAGCAAAGTTCTGAAAACTCGTATTAAAAGATTAACCAGTTACTTCCCTCAAAATCAGGGAAGACCTTAAGGAGGACAATGCACACTTGCCGAAAAGTCCAAAGAGTGACATTGCGGGATCATTGTTACATACATATAATTTATGTGTCACTAATTACATGTAATACAGATTTCAACCTCTAGTTTCACTAAAGTCGTTTTTGAAACCACTAACAATAAACCTCTGCAACTTTTAGCAGCAGTCAGGCGCATGGTCTCTGTCTTTGTAAAAAGACTTACGGTGACTTGTTTCTTACTTGACTTTTATAAATAACATTTAACACTTCCCCCCCTTTTATTTCATAAGTAATTTGAAATCTCTGGACTACTTTGTTATATTCAGGGCAAGGTGGATCACTTTTTATACCAAGGATTTGCACTCCTGAATTACATTATTTGGCAGTTTATAATTTCTTACTCTTTTAAGTCAAATTTAGCATTACCACACTGTATTTAAATTGTGACGTTTTAAAATGGTCAGTGGGGATTTGTTTTGGGTGGGAGAAAAAGGAATGAAGCATAAGTTTGGAAAACAGACCAGGGTCTGGGGGTGTGTGGATGTCACTGTACTGCTGTTAGATCAGCGGTTCTCAACCTATGGGTCATGACCCCTTTGGGGTTTGAACGACCCTTTCACAGGGGTCGCCTGATTCATAACAGTAGCAAAATGACAGTTATGAAGTAGCAACAAAAATAATTTTGTGGTTGGGGGGGGCACCACAACATGAGGAACTGTATCAAAGGGCCGTGGCCTTAGGAAGGTGGAGAACCACTGTGTTAGATGGTTCTTTTTGGGGCAGGAATTGGTCAGAATGCAAGCCTGCGGTGAGAGGAAGCTGTTAGATTAAGATGATGTTTATATTTTCTAAATCATTTAATTCTGATAAATTCATCGGAGTGCAATGAAGTTAAAATAGGTCATTCTACTCCATCAGAAACAAACTCTTTTGGAGTGTTTGTGTTAACCTTTTACAAGTAGTCGTTGTACTTGAGAATTGTTCACCATGCAGTTTCTCAGATTTTCAGAGCTGAGAGTTCCATGTATGGACTAAGTTGTGCTTGCCTGGTAGAAGAGAAGTAGGCTGTGTTTAAAACCCTGAGAATATGAAGGCTGTTCTCTATAGAAACAAGAATTTGGTTAAATGGTACGAGAATTTGAGTCCCTTCATACATTCAAAATGCTCTCTAGAGAAACAGTCGAGTTTTGTGGTTACCTTACCTGCACCTGGCAGAGAGCGAGGGCTCACCCTGGCTCTATAAGAGCTGGCGGACTTTCTGGTCGGCCGGTTGGAAGGGTGCTGCCTCTTGTTCTCCTGCCGTGGACATGCTGCTCACCCGATAGTACCTTCCTGAGTGGGAGCACGTGGCGAAGGCCATTGAAAGCTGTCTCACCAATGCAGATAACACCCGTTTACATGTGCAGGGATTGAAAATGACATTTGATTCTGTAAATAGTGACGTTTTGAGCATCTTTCAACATTATGTATTTGTAAAAACCATTGCTTTTGGATATGGTTGCTAATAAGCACTTTACAAAAGAAAAAGCAGCCTTTCCTATTTTTTACGGTTGGGCCATTGCTCTTTAGAAGCAGTCTCAGCAATAGATTTCACAAGGAAAAGAGCTACGCGAAAGTGGGGAAATATTTCCTTTTGTCGTCCCACGGGAACCGTCTTTGCATCAATCTGAATTCTGCGTCACACAGCATATGCATATGCATAGGAACATCTCTGGGTTTTATGATACTTTACAATAAAGGAAGTTCCTTCAAGAAATTATAGTGTTGTATTTGATTTTTTAAAATATACCCTCTAAAAGCTTCAGCTGTAATTTATCATCTAATTTTAATTTTTCCAGTGTAGAGTTTAAATGCCTACTTTTAAAGCTCCATCGGTCTGGAAATTTTGCTGCAAATAAAATGCACTTTGGCACGGTTTTTCCCCCATTGGATTTGAGAGGTCGAAAGAGCATTGCCGCCACAGTGTGAAAGGGACTCGGCTTTCTCATGCTTCTTGGATGGGCTCGACTTTTTGGTGTAGTGTGTTTTTTAAAATTGTTCCCCTAGAAGTTACATGCTGTCATTGGGACCAAAGACATGACATCAAATAAATAATGGACATCAGCAATAAATTATAAAATTAAAAATGTAATCATAATCTCGGTCACCATTTAAAATGGAAGAAAAGGGTGTTGTAGCTGCTTAGAGGGAAACTTGTGTGCACTTGGCATGTAGATGCCAGGATTGGCCATTGGTGGCTGGTCCTGTGTTGACGTAAGAGTGACCAGAGGAAGAAGGGGGCGGAGTTTTCCAGTCGTGAACTTGCCCCTGCCGTCAGCCCTGCTTCTGGAGGGGCCAGTGCTCCTTCCTTCCTCCTCCGCCTCTCCTAGCACGAGCTGGTTTTCCCAATCATTTGTAATCGCTACTCCCCGTCACACAGATGATCTCTAAGATTTAAAGTACCTGACATTGGCTTTTTGATAGCCTGTTCCTATCTGAGCTCTCTTCCACCAAATAAACTAAGTCCATGGCTTACTTAAGCAGCCAGAGGACAAAGGACGGTCCCCACGATTCTACCAATGGGTCAGACGGTTGTTCTATTTTGGGTTTTGTGAGTGGCTGCCTCACTCTTTTTACTACACTTGATCTGAGCCAAAAGGCCGAGAAGCGACGCCTCGCTGTTTTTAACAATTCTGCCACTTGGCATTGTTACCAGCAGTGAAAGAGTTCCGGGTTACCCATTTCCTCGCCAGTATTTGTTATTTTCTAATTAAAAAAAAATTTTTTTAAGCCATCCTGCTAAGAGGCAACCACCAACCTTCTCACTGTCTCTTTAGTTTTAGTCTTTTCTAAAATTGTGTATAGTTGGAGCTGCACATTGTGTAGCTTTTCCCCCCTGACTGGCTTCTTTCATTTAGCACTGCGCATCGAAGGTGCCTTCCTATCATTTCGTGGCCTGTTAGTACTCCCATGGTACAGCTGACGACAGTTGCTTGTCTAGTTACCATTGAAGGACATCGTGGCCGCCTTCTGTGGCAATTATGAGTCAATACGCTATCATAATTGCCACAGATGTCATTGTTGACGTCAGATGGATCTCAGCAGAGAGCAAGGAATACCAGAAAGATGTTTGCTTGCGTTTCATGGGCTGGAAAGGCATTCAGCCGTGTGAATCTGAACCTGAAGAAGAATGGGGATTCTCGAACACTTCACTATGCTCACAGGGAACCTGTGCAGGGGTCGAGAGGTAACTGTGCAAACAGAAGGAAATACTGCATTGTTTGAAATCAGGACACACGTGTGTCAGGGTTGACTTCTTTCTCTCACCATACTTAAACAGTATGTATGCTGAGCAAATGATCTGAGAAGCTAGACTAGGAGCTAGACTATCCGAAGAAGAAGTCGGCATCAGGATTGGAGGAAGGCTTATTATCAACCTACAGATTACAACTCATGTAAAGAAAACCAAAATCCTCACAACTGGACCAATAGGTAACATGATAAAGAGAAAGAATGGGAGTTGACTGCAAGTCTTGCAGTCAAGAGATCAAATTACACATTGCTTTGGGTCACTGCTGTACAAGCCGTCGTTAAAGTGTCCAAAATCAAGGATGTTAGTGTGAGGACTTAAGGTATAGTATTTTCAGTCGCCTCATCTGCATGTGAAAGTTGGACATTGAACAGGGAAGAGTGAAGAAGAGTTGATGCACTTGAATTATGGTGCTGGCAAAGAATCTTGAAAAATCCCACGGACTGCCAAAAGAGCCAATAAATCTGCCTTGGAAGAAATACAGCCAAGAATGCTCCTTGGAAGCAAGGTTGGTGAGACTTTGTCTCATGTACTTTGGACATGTTAGTGGGAGAGACAGTCCTTGGAAAATGACCTCATGCTTGGTAGAGTAGAGAGACAGAAGAGGAGGAAGAGCGGCAAGATGGCTGCAATCATGGGATTGAACAGGATCATGGGATTGAGAAGGTACCAGACCAGGCAGTGCTTCGTTCTGTTGTGCCTCAGTTTACTCTGTGTTGGAGCCGACTCGGCAGCACCTAACAACATCCTATAGACATTTTTGTAATCCCTTGACATTTTTATTATACTTTAAAGTTCCTGTCTGATAGTATCAACACCTGGGCCATTTCAGAATTTGGTTCTGTTGACTTAACTCTTTAAAGTGGATCATTTGTTTTCATTCTTACTGTTTGGCATGTCATAATTTTTCATTGAATGCTAGACATTATGTATAAAATAACAGTAGAAACCGAGAAATATGATATCTGAAAATATAAGTATCTCTTCTATCATTAGGCCATTAATATGTTGGAGTGATGGAGTGGAGGAGTGGGGGGTCGGGGAGGTGTGCTGAGTAACGCCAATCAGCAGGTAGCATTTTTAAAGCAGTTTAGAGTTTCCCATTATATTAGGTGAACCTAATCCTAATTGATACATATCAGCTCCTCATGGTAAGGGAGGTTTTTTGGTTTTATTTTTCATTGTTATCAGTCCCCATTCCCCTGCAACCTCTCCTGCTATATCTGCAGGAGCCCCATTAATCCAGTTACTGTCTCTATAGATTTACCTAAGCTGGATTTCATGTACAGAAAAATATACCATGTAAAACAAAAACAAAACAAAATTAACAAAATGAAAGCCTTAATAAAAAAGAAACTATAAAATATTAAAAACAAGAATAACTTTAAAATGGGTCAGAAAGGAGATCCAATGATAAAGGTGTTAAGTTTTAACCTAACGCTACCTACCACAATTGACTTTACAATGTTCCCTGTCTGAAAACAGGGTTATTCACCTCCCTCGGCTATAATCAGAGGGGATTCACCAGGGGCTTAATTTTTGTGTGGACCCTACAAATGGATTTAGGCTGCCACTGTCATCCACAGCCTTCTGCAAACCAGGTGTTGACAATTTAAAGTCTGGCATTATTCCCTCCAGATTTGAATTATAGTATTAAAAATCCTTGGATCACAGATGTTGGTGTGCTTCTTCCATGTGGATTAGTTGACACCTGGCTTGATGGCTGCCTGTTTGGAGACAAGCCTTTCAGACCCCAGGTGCTATTCTTTCTGATAGTCAGGCACCATTGCTTTCTCACAGTTTGCTCTACCAGCACTGTCTTCAGTGATCTGTTCATGGGGGCAAGCAGCAAGCAGGGCCATGTCATAAGAACTAATTATTCTTAGATTGGGGCTAGAATTAAGTTAAGAAACCCAAATTAAGAGAATTCTTTAGAAGATAAGTTAGATATAGTCTGAATGAAACAAAAGATAATATGACGAGATTTTTTTTTAATCAATT